AATTTGCCAAAGAATGGCAGGAAGAGGTAGACATCACACGAGCAAGTCTAGATAAAGCCTCCTGAAAAATGAAGAAGTGGGCAAATAAGAAATGACGTCTTAGTGCTGAATCAATTCAAGTCACTACACAAAGTGTACAAAGGCTTGGTCAGGAGATATGAAGGTCCTTTTCCCATCATTAAACCTGTGGGAAAGGTTGCATATCAAGTACAACTCCCTCCCAAGCTTAAGATTTATCCTGTCATTCATGTTAATCTCTTAAAGAAATATTGCAGAGATAAGGAAGATCCATCCTGAGGTATCTCTAAGAGAGGATAATAGCAGTTGTCACCAAGTATGACAAGGACATAGAGGAGATCCTCGCTGATAGGGCGATTAAAAAAGAGGAGTTCCTAACTACATTAAGTACTTAATCAAGTGGAAGGATCAACCAGACTCTAAAGCTAATTGGGAACATGAAGACTTCATGTGGTAGTTCACTAACCAAATCCAACACTACAAGAAGGAAGGCGCGACGAGGGCATCACAAAATTAAGTAGGGGAGAATGTCATGATCCGTGACTTTTTGTGAGGTTAAAGTAGTCTGGACTGCTCTAAAACCCTCCAAAAGGTGTTAACCTTAAGAGAGTATTTCAAGGCATTCAAGAGAAATTTAGAACGTTCCAAAATGTTCTAGAAACATTTAAAACAATCTAAAAATATCTAGATCAATCTGGAAGAATCTAGAAGATTCTAGAAACTTATGAAAAGATGTAATGATATTTAAAATATTCTATAATACTCCAGGATGTTCTAGAATGTTACAGACATGTCTTGAGATAGTTTCTAGATACTTTCATGTAAGTATCTAGATATTTGTTGTAAGTATCTAGGAGAGAAATCTAGAATATCAACGATAGCCATAGGATTGATTTAATCTCCACCGTTCATTAAGGAGGTAGGAATTTTCTAGAGTCAAGGGAAGGTCTATAAATATCTCACCCCTTCTCATTTGTAAACCATCTTTGAGTTCTCAAGCAATACAACTCTCACACTTCCCAAACTCTCAACTATTATTTGCCTTCAAGCTTTCCCTTTCCTCAACTTAGCTAATCACATTCCTTTTTTATAAATCAGGCTTATTTAGCATCTTTCAATGAAAAGTGTCTAAGTGTCGCATGGGTCAAAAAATTAGTCCCATGACATCAAGCTCTTATGAATTTCGCTCTTCCTCCATGCTTCAACCAAGTCACGATCATGATGGGAGTGAAAAGTGAGGTTTGTGAATGATTGTGAAGGAGAGAAGAAGAGATGGCGTGGCTGAGATTATGGAGGTGGCTTAATGGATGAGAAGTTGTTGGAAAGGAATAAAAAAATTAAATGGGGAAATGAAGAATGGCCTCTGCGTCAAATCCGCAAAAGAGGGAAGCAGTGAAGTGGATGAATGATGAGATATGGGTGTGCTGTCGGTGAGGATGAATGGGAACGAAATTGGAGAGGGAAAAAAAACAAAACAAGAAATATGATGAGATGCTGGACGCTGAAGAAAAAAAATCGAGAGCTCGCTCGTTGAAGGCGGCGGCTGAGAGTTAAAAATGAAGATAAAGATGTTGGAAAAATTGATCCAATGATTAAAAGAGTAGCTAGATGATTTATGAAAAATTTTAATCATTGAATTTAAAAAGAGTTAAAAAAATAAAAAAATAAAAAAGTTTTTAAATTTTCTTTAGTTAGAAACGTATCTTGTATTTTTAATAATTCTTGGTAATTTCTTTCTTATCTTATTTTTTCATAATTCTTGAATGCTTTTTTAATTGTCAAGATTTAATTTTTACCGTTGAGTTTCATAAATTTTATTTTCATGTCCTAAAAAATCAAATGCACTCATTATTGTATGCTATATTCAAAATAAATCTCATGTCTCAAAAAATATTTCAAAATAAAATTTTTTCAACAATTATAATTTTTTCACAAAATGGCCAAAAATTTAAATAATGTATAATAATTCAAATTAAAATCAATTAAAGATAGAGAAAATTAAATCATATCAAAAATAGGAAAATAAAATATTAACAATTTAAGTCTAAAATTCTCATAACTAATCCAAAAATATAGTATTCCTCAAAATTGGCTAATAATTCAAATAATATCTAGTAAACTCAAATTAGCCCAAAAATATGATTAAAATGCATGAAAAATGTGGGATAAAAATATATAAAAATCATAATTTATCAATTGCATATTGCATAAATTAACATTCTGGTCTCGACAAGTAATATAAGAAAATTTACAAGACATATTAATTGTAAAGTTAGTAATTTAACAAGTCATATTTAAATTTACCCAAGTTACTTATTGTATAAGATAATATTTAAACTTAACAAGCAACTCTTTATGAGTCATATTAAACGTTTTACTTGTAAAGTTAGTTATTTAACAAATCATGTACAGATTTATACAGGTTTAGTATTTGGCAAGTAATTACAGCTTTGCCAAGCATTGTAAGGAAATTTGCAAGGAATAATAGAAGTTTTACAAGTTTTACATGTATAATATGTAACCTATATAAATTCAAACATAGCTTGTTAAATTAATTAACTTTATAAGTAAAATGTCTAGTATGATTTGAAAATCACTTGTGCAAGTGATGGCGAGCTCTTTGTTCTGTTTAAATATCAAGGGCAATTGGGTTATTTTGCTACGCAACTTAATTTCATTTTAGTCAGGATTTTCCAAATTTCTTGGGCTTGATTGGTAAACAAGTAGTTACTGTAATCCTTAACTAAAATTCTCCCCAAATAATGTAAAATTTATAAGATAACAGATCCGTTTTCTTATTAGCTTTCTTGTTTTTGGGAAGCCGGCCAGTTTTCGAGCTCGTATCTTGCAGTTTACAAGCACTAAAGTAAACAACAAAGGTACGGAGTAACTGGCAAATTAGATTTCATATTATAAGTGATAACTGACAAATATCGTATACTGGTGTTTTTTTATACGTAATGCAAATAAAAATTTAAAATTCTTTTGCTGACTTTTTCTCCTGTTTATCTTTCTTACCGTTCAGGTTTTAAATTGAAGAAGAAAAAGGTTCTCTTTCTGGCGCTGCCATGGCTCCTGCAGAGTACTAAGGGTATCAAAGTTTCTGGTAGATCTAAAAATATCGATCTTGCAGTTGACCTGTTTAATGAAGCTGCAAACAAGTGAGGGAAAATGACAATGAAATTCCTTTGATCTGGTGCATGATATGTGCATATTGTAAAAGTTCTGAACCTGATAGAGTTAAGAAGATAGAGGAATTACTAAAGTTGATTTCAGAAAAGGAGCATACGCCATGGCTAAATGCGTCGTTACTTAGGCTTTATGCATAAGAGGACTCCTTAGAGGACATGGAGAACTCAATTAATGATGCATTTGAGCGCAAATTCTCAGTAAGAACAAGTATAATTTTTTGAGGTCTACTGGATGTTCCGACTGGAAAATTTGCCTCTCCTTATTCCACCATAAGATGGTCCTGTATGGAGCACAAAAGCGCTTTGAGGAAATGTGGAGTGTCAAGATGGGTACGACGAAGAAGACATTGTGGATTTTGTACAAGGCTTATGTAATTTGTGATCAAAGACCCAAGGTTGGGAAAATATTGGGGGACTTATGTGCAAGAGTGGATTTGATTTTCCAGTGAGTGCAGTCCCATTGTAAAATACTACATTTTTTGCAACATTATTTGAATTTTGAATTATTGGCAGACAAGTGTTACTTATCAGCTTATGTGGAACAGGGAACTGATTTTGGATTCTGCAAGCAGCAAGCAGTTATAGCACTTGTGGTGCCTTCACCTGCCGAAGACTGCACATATACAGTACCTTTTGCAATAATTGATGTCAGCAAATCGAACCACCATTCAAGTTAACTCAATGTTCATGCTAACTTGTAATTTAAACCATGACCTTCAAATTAATTTTAAATAATTATTTTTCATATTAATATTTTTTTATTTTAAAAATAATTAAACCTAATATATCAACATTAAATAGTATTTTGTCAATATTTAAAGGTCTAATGAAAATAAAAAAATTATAATAAAACTAATCTTGTTAGGATTAAATGATTGAAAAAATATTTTATAAAATTAAAAGATTAAATATTTACTTTAACACACACACACACATATATAAGTATCCGTAATTGACAAGACTTCTCAGTAGTTTGTTTTATAACTACCCTTTGTTTGGTACAGGCTCTTATAGTGCTAATTTATGGATGCTTTATTTTTTGTTTGCTTTCCAATTCCGATATGTCTAAATCTTTATTCATGTCTGGAAGGGCATTTCTAGCATTCTTTTTCATCTTGAATTTGTTTTTAAGCACATGGATTAGATCACCTACATTTGTATTGTAATTGTAAGTGTTTTAAATTTGGAATCTTTCTAGCTTTTAAAGAATAACATCTGCACTGAATTTTCAGTGTGGTTTTTGCACTGAATTTTCCGGATGGAGATATAAATTTTCTGTTAATTCAAAGTTATTCTTCCCAAGCTCTTGTTCCAAGTCAGTGAATATGACTCTATCCTTGCATTATTCTATCACTTGGCTATTGCAAGAGTTTATAAGATTTTTTTTTTTTTTACACAAATTTAACCCCATTTATTTAAAATTAAAAAATAAATAATTTTTAAATAACTTAAAAATTTTGTAAAACAAGATTTATTTTGTAAGCTTTATAGAAAACAGATATTATTTTATATTTAATTACAATAATAAAAATTTGATTATTAATTAATTATTTTTAAATTTTATAATATCTTCCTTAATATTTGTTTTACAGATTTAACTATTTTAAAATTTTATATGTATCCTACATTTCTAAAAACATTTTCTTTCATCTATTATATTAAATTATTTTTTGTAGCTTCTTAAAATAATCAAAAATTAAAAAAATATAATAAAAAACTATTTTTCTTTTTATTTTCTCTCACTTTCCTTTTCTTCCACTTTTTCCTCCCATCCAAACAGACCATCAGTCCTCAAAATCAAGTACTTGCAACCACAATATAATTTCAAGTTTCAATACAATAAAAACATGCAAAAACTTTCTACACATGGGAAGCCATGATCAGATACTCTGACAACTTTTTGAGCTCTGAGCAGCGAGCACAACTGTATTATGAAGCTCTTTTAGGGATGCTGGGTGCCACTATGGTTCCACCATTATAACCATCCATCAGCAACCTCCCAATTTTTGATCGCCACTCTGAGCTCTCCCTCTCATTTTTTCTATCATGCACAACTCTATCACAGTAGTTAAGCATCGTTCCCAGTCCACTGTTCGGGATCCAACCGAACTCCATTAGCACCTGTGCCTCACCTTCCGTCAAATCTTCCCCAACCTGTAACACAGACGACAAGAATTCAGCACAATAAAAATGGTGACGGGGGCAGAATGCAGTAATAACATCTATTCATGCATGGAATCTAAGAATTTAGTTATAAAAGCCATCGTGACAGCCAAATAAGTGCCACCCACAATATGATATTACATCCAAAGTCTCCCCTTTACTCACAAACCAACAATTAAGAAACTTCCTTTAATAATCACAATCATAGTAATAATGGCTTAACCCAAAATTACACATTCTGGGGATACCTCTCCCAAGCGTATTTTTAAAACACAGTATCTCCCAGAATAATAAACTTCCTGTTTGATAGAGCACCACTTAGCCAACTTTTAGAATACTTGAACGTTCATAGTTAACAAGATAAATCTATTTAGCAAGTTATATGAAAGCATGTCAAAGTTGCAGCAAGCTGTTACCCTTAACGCTTTGTTCTCAATAAGGGAAATCCTGCCACAGCAAGTCAGTTTCATAGCAGTCACCAGTCGCTTGATCTGCCATGCAATGGGCAAGGATTCTACTAGCTCAAAGAAGTAGGTTGCAAAACCATATTCAGGGCGTTCAAGCACTACCCTGCATTGAATAAGGCTCAATGTTAGCATCAAGAGTATAATAAGAAAATACAGACCTCAAATATTATCTCTATTATAAAGGAAGCACCTGTTATGTCTCTCAAATACAAAAATAAATGATTGTAGGTCACGGCACCAACCCCACTCAACAGGCCATTTGCGAAATTGCAAGTACCTTGTCTGTATCAATAACAAAAATGAATATATGATAAAAACCAGCACAGATGCTCTAAAAGGATGGTTAATTTATCAATACAAGGTTGCAGTAGTTCTAATACCTGCTCCACAAGTGAGATAAGGCAAGGTAAACAGTAACTTGCTCTTGAAGCCTTCGTGGCACGAATAAGAGGAAATTTTATGAAAGAATGGCGCTGGGCAAAAACCTGTCTCCAGATTTTTTAATTTAATTTTTTTTTTTTGTTTTTTGGAGCAGGGGGATGTAATGAAATTGCGAATCAATTAAGTTGTGCCACCAATAACAATATGATGTCAAAAGTCAAAACAATACAACATATGTAAAAATTCTGCTGAAGCCCATTATGATCAATTAAGTAGTTTCAATGGTAGATATTAACCTGATACACTACGGTTACTGTATAGCTGTAGAAATCTAGAGTAGAAAACCTGATTCTTCCAAGATAAGTAAAGGGACAGGCTACACGGCCCAGCAAAAACAATTAAAGCTTCAAATAATCTGGAAAGAAAACTTCTTTTCTTCTTACTCCTAGAGCACAAGCAAGCAAAGGGAAAACACGTTGCCGCATTGTCTATTAACTAATATTCCCTCAAGTCCTATTTATAAGATACTTTTAACTAAACCACACAAATTAAAAAGGTAGTTAAAATTAGTTATTGATTTTTTTCAAAAATTTCTATAAAAATCCCAAGTTAACCTTAACTAAAAGAATTGACTTTATTTTTAAATCTTAAAGTCAAACATGCCACCCAAATGAACCAATTGAATATGTGGGGGCATTTTTGGAAATAACTCATAAATACTTCATCAAGTTTTATGAGGTGTCTTATATAAAAGACCAGACAAAACTTCTAAAAGGTGTTTTATATTAACGACTAGATGGAGCAAATAATAAAATATGATAAACTTTGATGTCCTGTCCTTTCCTTTCTTTCTCACAGCTAACGTACTGTACAGTTGTCTAGCCTTATCCGACTAGTTTGATTGTCTACTTATTTGTTAGAAAACAGAGTCCCAATTTTCTGTTGTTTAACGTAGTAATTAGTTGTTTTTTTTTTTTTTTTTGGTGGTGGGCATCTAAGGAAAGCAACTCCCTTATTCAAGAAAATGAAGTCACTTTCTCAACAAAACAAAACAAAATGATCAACAAATATATCCTAATTTTCTAAAGAATGATTTCTATGAAATCTGTCCCAAAAATATATCCCATAAAATCATACCAATAACCATCTCTTGACACTTTGATCATACTTCCCACCAAAAAGACATTAATAAATAATTGACATTGAGATATGAATATGAGAAGGCCAAAATTAAAAATCACAAGTCACTAAGAGCTTGTTTGATTTCCATTTTTAAGAACTGTTTTCAGTTTAAAAAAAAAAATTGTTTGGGCAAGTGTTTTGCAGATAAATGATTTTCAAAACTGTTTTTATTTTGTTTTTAAAAAATAAGAAAATGAAAAAACATTTGAGTTGTTTCTGTTTTCTTTTTTTTTTAAAAAAAATAAAAAACACATTACACTTAACCGCTGGAACCTATTACCACCAACGCCCTACCATCATGGCCCACTGTTACCCACCAATGTCAACCTCCATTGCCAGCCACCATTGGTGGACATCGCCAATCCCAACCAGCCACCATCATTAATCATTACAATTGGCCACCACGCACCACCACCAACTGCCGCCATCTAACAACACCATTAGTCGCCACCCTTATCACCCGCCACCATCAATTGCTGCTAGCTAACAACCACTAGCCATCATTAACTAAACACCACCATCACTGATCAACCACCACTAGTCACCACCACCAACAACCGTTGGCAGCACTATCAGCCAATACCAGTCATCACCACCGGCCACCATCATCAACCCAAGCCAACAACCACCGTCAACCTAGGCCAACTACCACCAGTAAACATTGTTGACCTCCACCATTAGCCAAGCTTTTTTAACTTTGAGTTTGTTTTAAAATTAGCATAATCAAACAGACCTTTTTGTTTTATTTTGAAAAAATAATTTTTTAAAAAAATGGTATACAACATAGTTTTTAAAAAATGAAAAATAGGAACAAAATCAAACAAGCCCTAACATTTTCAGTTTTTGGGGTCTTGAAATGGAAAAGTATTGATCGAATTTTAAAACTAGGTTCTCTTGTTCACCTTTGACATAACAACCTCAAACTTTGCAAAGCTATCTTCACAATATGATTCATCCAAAGCTTCACCACTCTCCACCCCTCCGTAAAGCTTAATTTCATCTACTAACACGCCCTTGTCAATTAGCACCTGCAAAACAGCATTTCCTTCAACCTCAATATAACCCACTACTAAAGTGACTGCTTATGAACAAGAATACAGTACCTGCAATAGCCCAGGAGCATCCTCCTCTAACGCTGTTTGAACAGAGTCCCTGAAATATTATAATTGCTGGAGTAAGCATTAATGGAAACAAAGCAAACCATATACAATTCATATAACAGAAGTATATGGTACGTTGCTGTTATCTTTCTTTTCCGTGGAAGCTTGATGCTTAAAGATTCTGGAGATTCCAAGCTAGAGCTCCTTTCAAGGGTGGAAGGCCCAGTATCCTTCAAAGATGTATAGCTTGTAGAAGAATTTGCACTAAAACTATCTCCTGATATTACAAACTTTAGTCGATCACGTAAGCAGACATGTTCGACTAGATCATTATCATATTTGTTTAGGACTTCCTGTTCACTTTTTACATTCATGAAGTTGAACGAAAAGTTACCCAGTCCATCAGCTGGGAGGTTGTGGAACTCACTGCCATCACAAGGTTCATCCTTGACTTTGATGAATGTCAGAAAAGTTGAACTATTCTGACCATCATTCATTGCAGGTAAAACACCGTTTTCCTCATATAGATTGGATTGCATGGCCATTTCTGCAGATTTAAATACATGGTCACGTCCTTGAAGATTTATTGAGATTATTGATTCTGCTGTTGTCCTAGAGGGAGACTTCAACGATGAAGCATTGCCTCCTAGAATGTCATTACACTGATTGCTAGCTGCTACAATTTTATCATCAACAGAATGAATCCATTCATTTACCCTCCTGTTGGCGTGTTCCAAAAAGTCTTCCAATAACTCTGCACCAACATCCTGTGGGATATTAAGCAGCAATTTTTACAAAGGGATCAAGCCATGAAAACAGATATTCTGTTTCATCTTCCATCATAAGATGTAAACATGATCAGCAATCAACCTGACTTAGCCTTCACATAGAAGGCTAAGCACTCAGTCATATATCAATCAAATTTCAGAGGAGAAAGAGCACATGTAAAGTAAAAGAAAATGAAAAAACAAAAATGGGATTAATGGGGAGTTGGATTTGGATTTGGATTTAGACTAAATCCTTCGTTTGCATAAACAAAAATTTATGAATTTAGATTTGATCAAATACAAATCGATTTCAAATAATAATTCCTCTGTAATTTCAAATTCCCTTTACACTCTATTCATTTGAAATTTTAATCACTCAACCATCTCGTTCTCTTCATGTTTTCACTATTGATACCTTTATAAACTCTATTAGCTTTTCTCATCTCTTGTCAATTAAAAAATATAAATAAACTCATCCAATTTTCCATTTTCCTTTCAAATCTCAACTCATATCTTTTTTTCATTTGAAAGTTTTTAAACAACCCAAACAAAAGATTTTAAACGCATGGATTTGAGATTTTAAATCTAAAATCCAAATCCATCAATCCAAATGTTACCTAAAATTAAATTGTTTAAACTGCTGGTTGTTCTTTTACAGCCTAAATAAACTTCAAATTCCTCCAATTTCAAGCCACGTGCTTTGTAGACCATAAGCTTGGTTTGCTACCGAATCTCTTTAACATTCAAGATCCGCTTGGCTATTATAGAGAAACAGTACATAAGTAAATAAATTTGACCAAGAAAGAAAAACTAATTGCTTAAAGAAAAGAGACCAAAAGGCAAGGGGAAAGAGACCTTTAGAAAATGATTTATTTAACTGAAGTCCCAATAAGCTTGACAAGTGAACCTGGGTTCCACATGGCTTGCAACAAGCAAATAACTTAATTCTAAATATCAAGAAATGATGCTAAATCTGCAAGAACCAGTCACAACTAACTTTGCTAATAAAGAACTAATCCTACTAATCAAAAGTAAAGGATAATAAATTACCTCAAGGAGATGATTTGGCCTTGCTGCCATCCTCCTCCTGCAATGTGTAGGGGGGAATCCATTTTCAACAGAGCAACAAGAAAATTCCATTTAGGTTATTCATCTCGATTAAGTATTTGGTTTGTTATGATTTCTCAAGGTGATCATCTTCTGATAAAATGTGGCTATTTCATTGTCATAAACATAGCTACTTTGTTTCAAATTATTAGAAAGCAAAAAAGAACAACTTTTTGTCTAAGGTATGTAAACTAACTTAAAACACTTAAAGATAAAAGTTATATCATTAATCGTCATTCAGTACCTTCCCAGCAGCATCCTTTGACGTTCTTTCAGCACAACATGATCCAGATCATCATCATTGTCATCACGGATTAACCTTTTTACCTTTAGAGTAACTAAATTTGATTGGCAAGATTCTTTTCTGCCATTTTCATCAGAATTTAAAAAACTCTCAGGATCTTCAATCTTCATAGAAGCAGGAACATCACAGAATATTGAACACTGGGGCAAACTATCAATGGTAACACAGGCTATCTCAGCCTCACCCATATCAGTTGAGAGATTGGGACATTTTACCTGTTGCAAACTAGGACATAAACGTGCTTGAGTCTCATGCCAGTTGCCATAATGAAAACACCTACTAGGTACCAAGAGCTGCCACTTCCTAAGTATTATTATTATTTTTTTTTTTGAAAGACACACACACACAGGCACGCACGCACGCATGACACACAAAATTTTTTGAATATTTGTTAAACTCGCATAAAAAATAAAATTAAATACTAAAAAAATAAAAATTATAAAATTAGAATAATGACTTTTCTAAAATGGTGCAATGAGTATTAACTATTAGAATCAAACTCTTACTTTTTATCCAATAAAAATGTTTTCCCCTTTAATATACTAGTGAAGTAGAATGTAGAATGTCACTAATATTAGATGTATAAATTCATTTACGTGAATGTAACTTCCAGCTCTAAGACTATAGGCAGGCTCTATAAGTTAGAAAAACTTGAACATGGTAGTTTTGGTTTAGATTCCCCAAACACATGCAGAAACCGATATAAAGCTTATTACAGGTTATATTCCAATGCTGTAAACATTCAGCAGGGTGGAAAAGTCTCAATTTGAATTAGAGGCATAAAAGAAACCAAATATTCAACTTCCTTTCTAACAAAGAGAAGCATAATTTAAAGTGGTCAACTTTCCGTGGCTCGCACTCGAAGGTACAGCACCACCCTGCAGATTCCTGCCTCTCATGTAGGCCAGTAATTGGGGTCGGGTGGGATTACAGGGGGCGGCCTTAAAGCACAAATATTTAGCACCTTTTTCTCTCTTTTTTTCTTTTCTTTTTTTTTTCTTTTTTCATTTTTTTTTAAAGCAACACACTATGAAATGAACAATACAGATCACTCTTTTCTTCTATTCACTACACAACAAGCCCCAGATTTCTCAAGAAAATTCATTTCATTCCTAAGAGTATATGCACAATTGAAGAAGTATCCAAGTTCTGGAAAGACACCGTCAGGATTACATCCAACATCAAAGCCAACAAGCCAAAGTAAAATCTCTTAAATTTTGGTAAAATTGAAGGGGAAGTTGCATACAGGACATTGTAACCACAATCCAATCTGCTACAAGAATTCACCTCCACCAAGGGTCCTGGTATTTCGAATGCACAATTCCCAGAACCACCCCAGTTGCGTTCCAGAATCAGACCTTCAATGAGCAAGAACCATCTCTGAAGAATAGTAAATCGCAAAGGAAGAAGCCAAAAATCTGGTTAGACGCCCTTTTTTCACATAAACATTACACCCGCGAGTCTCCCTCAGCACAACATAAGCCTGGGGCTCGAAACGGCAGAGCACAGGGAGAATAATAATAGAAGAAGGAAAAACGGAATTCTGGGATCAAAACGGCGGCGGCAGCGGAATGGGGCCGTGAGCTCAAAAAAAATAGAAGAACGAGAAGCGGACGCCCAGGCGGACTGTAGTGAAGAAGAAGAAGGTTCGTTCAGTCCAATAGACGAAGAAGACTGATATGATATTATGTGAGAGAGGATACGTTTGTCTTTTTCATATTATTGTTTTGTCCTTGTTTGTCTGCACGTATTGCTGAACCTTTTGTATGCGCCTGCGTTCTCGCAAAACCCTTATGGCATAAGTGGAATTATCTTTCTCTCTCTTCCCTCGCCTCCTTTTTCTCTGTCTCTTCTTCCTTGTCTCCTTTTTTGTTTCTAGTTTTTTTTCCATTTCAGGACTGTGCTCTTATCATTGGTATCAGAGCAGACTGCATCCTGATGGCAAAAGCTACATGTTCACAAGTTGCTGTGCGTGAGGTGGAGGACCGTCTAAGGGAAGAAATGGATCAACGCTTTGCTGTTATAGAAGCTCAACTCGAGGGACTACCACAAATGCAGACGCAAGAAACTGGGATGCAAGACCTTCTGTGACATTTGTCCTTACAGCTCGCTGATATACAGCAGGGGCGAGAATGTGAAAGACGTGATGATTATCAGGTTCCAACCCGTTACACCAAGTTAGACTTTCCCAAGTTTTCCTCAACTGATGTTGATTCGTGGATTGCCAAGTGCGAGCGTTATTTCTTGTTGGATGGGACGCCGGAGACTCGTAAGACTATAATAGCTAGTATTTCTCTAGATGACAATGTGTACAAGTGGTTTCAGCATTATGAACGAGGAGTCCCTGGTCCTATACTATGGCCTAAATTTGTCGAAGCCGTGCGTATGAATTATGGACTATTACATGATGACCCAATGGAGGACTTGATGCACCTCTGACAAACAGGCAAGGTAACTGATTATCAGCAGGAGTTTGATGAGTTAATGTGTAAGTTAGATCTCTCTGAATCAAGGAAGATTAGTTGTTTCATTGGGGGGTTAAAATCCGATGTCGCACCCGGAAAAATGCGACGCGGATGGCGCGCGAGCGGAGGTCCCGGCCTTCACGGCGGGAACCAGATCGAACGAGGAGTCGCCACCAAGATTTTGAGGTAAATCTCAAGAAACCGATTAAAAGGAGGATAAGGGTAATCTACGAAATCAGAGAATAGGTTCGGGAGTCGGTTGAGTGTGGGGAAGGTGTTAGGCACCCCACAACACCTGTTCGTGAGAACGGTTACCTAAAGTTTGTTGTGCTCTATTAATATGGTTTTAAAATTATTTTAATTATCCCTTTTATATTCATGTGTCTGATATAAAAATGATGATAATTGAGTGAGAAATGTTTATTTATTTACGAGGGAGGACGGACTTGACTCAGAATCTGACTCTGAGGCCTATGTACCCTGTGATGGGGATCAAAGTCCACGTAGTTCGGGCTTAAAAGTTTGTCGGTAAAAAAAAATTTTTTTGAAGAGAAATTAATTAGAAATAACTCACCATTTTGCAAATAAAATAATTTCTGAAATTTTGATATGTGTGTTTTAAATTGCAAAAGGTAATTTAATTTTAATTATTTTCTCAATTTTTAAATTTTGAGTTAAAGAAAAGGAAATGGTTTAAAATTATTTTTTTATCTTTTGTGATTGGGAATTTTAATTGCAATACCTACAGAACCTTATTGGTTCATACGGTAATGCAATTACTCTAAATATCTGCGGAGATTTCGAAATCTCACACGATAGAAGAGTTTAGCAATTTAATTTATTTATTTATATTCTTATGTATATTTTTAAGTGTTAATAATATATTTTAAGTGTGTATATACATGTTTTTAAAGAATTTTAATCATCATACCTGCAAAGCCTTATTGACTTATACGGTAATGTGAGTATCCTAAATATCTGCGGAGATTCTAAAATCTCACACGATAAAAGAATTAAATTTATTTGAATACATCTTTTTAGTTTAATTAATTTAATATATAATTTATACATATATGTTTTAGAAAGCTTAATTGTTATATTTACAGAGTCTTATTGACTCATACGATAATACGACTATCTTAGAAGTCTACGGAGATTCAAAAATCTCACATGACTAAAAGATATAATTGGTGAATATGATTACAAGTTAAATGCATTAATTTAATTAATTAATTTTTAAATTGTGTATTATATGATTATTTGCAAAATAAAAATTGAGAATCACTATATCTGCGAGGACTTATTATCCCACACGATACTGTGATTAATTTAAGTCCCTATGAAGATTCTTAAAATCTCACACGGAACTTAAATGGATTATTTAGATTATAAAAAGACAGTTAGTTTTAACGGTTGGTCATTGAAACCATTGATTGTACATATAAATTGGATCTCTATACCTGCAAAATCTTATTGATTTACACGGTATAAGATCACTTTAAATGCCTGCGAAAATTCTTAAAATCTCACACGGCAAGTTAATAAAATACAAGAAACCTTCTCTTATTCATTTTCTTTTAGATGAGAATTGAATTCTCTCCTCTTAATCTTTTATACAATTGTACATGTGGATAGAAAGTGTCATACGGTATGAGTGTAACAATATTATTGACAAGTAAAGGACCTTAGAATTAATAGAGATAAAAAAGATCATGCCCATACATATTGCTATATCTTTTCATGCTAGAAACATATTTAAAACTCAATTCCAAAATTTGGCCTAATGATCACACACATTTTTTTGAGAAAAAGCTATAATGAGAATATGCCCATAATTATGTGAGGCTTGCAAGCCAAATTTCATTTATAATCTCTTCATCCCTCTTCTTCACTTTTCTTTTCAAACAACAATCATTTTATTTATTTATTTATTTATTCATTATTATTTTTATTATTTTATCAAAAACACTACAAGTCCATACTAAAATTTGTTCATGGCAGCAAGTCCAACTTTCATATGAAGTCTCTCCTTCTTACTTTAAAGAAGTGTTATGAATATGAAAAAGCCAAATAAATGATTAATTTTAATGAGACTGAATCGGATATACAAATAACCGAGTTCAAATAAACATAACTCATAACACAAGAAAATGGGCAGACGGACAGGAAAGCATGGGAAAGGATTTTCATCTCTAATGTAAATAATTAATCAACGAGGCATTTACCGTTTTTGAATCAGAAGAACTCCGTCTCCGTCTCTTTTCGGTTTACTCTTTCTCTCCGTTTCTCTTTTTGTGTCTTGGATCAGCTCCCCTTTCTGTTTGTTCTGCGTCTCTGACTGGGGGGAATAGTAGCTCAGTGTTCTCCTTCTCCTCTCTTCTCGGACGTCTCTGTTTTCCAGAAAAAAAACTCTTCTCTGTCACTGTTTTTTCTTTCTTCACCTCTGTCTCTGTTTTTTCTTAGTCCAGCTCGTGTTTTTCTTTCCCTCTTGCTCTGTCTCTATTTCTCTTTCTCTCTAGATTCTCTCTTCATTTCTTCTTTCTCTCTTTATCATCTCCGTCTACGTCTTTCTTCCTCCCCTCGGTCTCTGTTTTTTTCTTTTCGTCCAGCTCTTTTTTTTTGCTTTTCTTGTTCTCTCTCTCCCCCCTTTCCCTCCAGTTTTCCGTTCGGTCTTATATAGAGGATGGAAGAGGTGAATCATTGCTCTTCTGCTCTGCTTCTTCTTTGCTACTGTATCTTCTGTGTGTGCCGAAGTCTGCTCTGTTTTTCTACGTTTCTGTCTCTATTTTCTGTGCTGTCTCGTCTGCTTTCTCTGCTGTGCCATTTCCTTCATGCATGCATGCGCCCTTAGTTCTGTTTCTTTTCTCCTGCCAGCCGAAAGTATATGCGTACGTGTTCCGGTTGCTTACTGTTCTTTACGCTCTGTTTTGCTTCTTCTGCATTTCGTGTCTGTTACCTCTGGTTCTTTCATCGTCTGCAACTCATGTGTTCGTGCGTTTTGCTGTTTCTGTCCTTTTTCCTGCTGCATGGCCGAAAGTGTATGCTTATTTTTATTTCTGCATCTCTGTGCCTGTATTTCTTCGCTGTTTCTGCATTTCTTTGCTGTTTTTGCATTTTGTGTCTCTGCGTTTTGTGTCTCTTTTCTGCTGTTTTCTTCTTTTTCTGCACATGGCTGAAGGAGTATGTGTGTGCGTGTGTTCTGATGCTCTCTCTCTCTTTTTTTTAGCCATTCTTTAATGCTTTTTTTTTGTTAATTAGATTGAGGGAGAGAAAGAAAAGTTTAGTTTTAAAATACATATTTTTAAATGGAAAACAAAACAAAAATTTAAGGAGAGAAATTTAAAAAAAGTTGAGTCTCAAAAAAAATTGATTCCCAATATCTTTGAATGGTTGGAATAATTTGAGAGGGATTTTTTTAAAAAAAATTAAGCAAGATTTTTTTTTTTTTGAAAATATAATCCTAAAAAGGATTAAATTTCATTTTTATATTTTTTATATTTCTTGATTTTTTATTATTAAAATTAAAAAAAATGCTCGGACAAAATACGGTGTTCACAGTTGCCCCTCTTTACTTGTTTCTTATGTAAGTATATGAAAAAGTGTACTTTTGAATTCTTACATAAGTGACAAGTAAAGATAGAACATGTATTTTGGTCGGCCATGCAATACCTATAAAAAGACCTAATTACCCCTGACATGACAAGATATGATTAAATGCAAGACTATTATTTAACAAAACAATGACATGATTTTTTTTTAATAATATGATGAGATAATGTGATGCAAATGAAAATGATCAATTGACAAAGATCCAAACACAATGCAAGACTATTGGATAACAACACAATAAAATGATGATTTTGTTTTGAATTTTTGATTTTTTTTTATTTTAGTAATGTGACTAGAATGACTAAATGATGCAAGACTGTTGGATAACAAACACTATAGCATAATAATTTTTTTGTTTTAGCAATGTGATGTGAATGAAAATAATCAAATGACAACGATCCAAACAAAATATATGTTGACTAGATGCCCCCTCTTCATTTGATTTTTAAGTGAGAATTTCATGAGATGGTATTCTTATCTTAGAAATGAATTAAGAGAGAAACATGTATTTTGTTTGGAGGGGCAAGACTCTTAGGTATCTACAACCAAACAAAACAAAACAAAATAAAAGAAAGGGTTTAAAATGAAATGTGGTTTACGAACTAAACAAAACAAAACCTCAATGGA